TATTTGTGATTTCCAAACATGTACAGCTTTCAAAGCAAGGACAATTGTCATTTTGCACAGATAAACTCACCTTAAAGTCATGGCAGAATCAGAAAAGGACTGTGAGCAAAAGTCATTTTAAAATTAACTCGATATGGAAAGCAATTAATATACAAATAAGTGGATGGCGGAGTCATACTCTGTTCAATTTTCAATGTTCTTTCACGATTACTTCTATCAGGTCTCTGAAAATTGTCTGATTTTACATATAATTCTTGCTGTAACCTGCATTGTTATATATTATCAGAGCACACTACAACATGGTGGGGTGTTAGGGTGGAGGCATGGAGGGGATGAGTCACAACAGGACATCCTAAAATACAAAAACACTCCAGTAAAATACAAAATGCATCAGACATTAAGTCAAAGAAAGAAAGATTAATTCAATACACACAAATACACTTCAGCAATAAAAAGGAAAACAATTCCGCGTGTCTGGCATACACTTTCCCAATTCCCCTACCCTATGAGATGGTAAAAAGCTACTCCTGACAGGTGAACCACAGGATCGCTTAGACATCACAGGGCTGCGAGGAGGCTTACCAACAATAGCTACATCAGTCTTCAGTCCAGTCTGCAAGAGCCACAAAAGTGCAATCTGACTGCCTAGAGTTAAAGTTATTTTAAAAGAGCAGACCACTTAGGAAAAATATCAGAAATATGAAGGCACAAACATTCCGGCACAGAAATGCTGGAAACACAAAGTATGACTGGAATTGCCTAATCTAAATCAAATAAGATTATTGCAAAATATTTTTGGCTTCCAAAAGATAGTATATCAAGTTGAGCACAGATAAAAGCGTCAAGGGGCCAAAAAGTGACAGCAAAGTGAATGTGAGTGAGACTACCCTCTGCAGAAATTCTCATTCCTTTTTACACTGATGTTAGAATGGATCAGACTCTGGCTGAAAGCTTCAGGAACCCTTTAACTACACAACTGATGTAAAACAAAACTAATTCACACCAAAACTACAACGTCTTTGGAATCAAAGTGAATCATATCCTTGTCTTATTCAAAGCACATGTTGTCTGGGCTTTATGCTTTAAGTCATTCATATCACCAATTTAGATTGTTTATTTTGCCTACTACCTTCTTCTCAACAGGTTGAATCCTCTGCTAGAATATGATTCTGTGGCTATTGGCTGCTTTACTATCTCAAACAAATGGCCATCATTGATATGCCAATCCTGATAAATAGTCTAAACATGCTACTTGATTGGACACACCATTCTATACTCACCCAATGTTCACATGTTAGTACTTCCAACAGTAATCAATGGATCAGGAATAGAAACCCTGGTTGATTCAACCCACCCTAATCCAGCAGTCCCATAAACAAAGGTAACCTGCTAACTGTCTCCAGCCATTAATATCAATGAACAATAGAGTGAATCTGGGACTTCTCTAGCTTTTATGGTATGGAATTAATTTGTGGTGTGTTATGCTGTAGCCTCAAGGGCAGCTGGAGTAAAATGGCCCAAACTTATTTCTGTTACTGGCCATGCAGAGCTTCATTCCATGAGAAAATCCCAATTTAATACCCAGATCTCGGAGATGAAAGGAGAGTGCTTGCTATACAAGCAAAAGTACAAAGTCTTCAAACATTTATTTGCAAAATGATTTTTCCAAATTATGCAGGAGATACATGCTGATACTTAAGTGGGAGCTCAAAACATTTTGAATGATTGAATAGAATGTGGTGAAATGAGATTAATATCCTTTGAGGAGAGTAATGTTGTTTACAGGGATGCTTACAGTAGGTATAGTATGTAAAGATTCAATTTTCACAGATAATACAGCCACTTATTCTTTCAAATGGTTGTTCATAAAACCTTTTTACCCTCATTTAATCTAAAGATCATGGCTGTTTTCAGTGGTGGTCCTAAAAGCCTACTGGCGTATCTACATAAAAATAAATTGAAGACAAATTGTAATCTCTCTGTTTATTATGAGTAACCCAATCGATTGAAGATTCTAGCTGACAACAATTTTTGACTTTTCACCTTGTTTCCAATCATAAGCATGTTTCCTGTATTGAGCATGAGAGCTCTCTATGTGTGGAATCCTGTTGGTAACCTAAACCATTCTCATTATTCTGTAAATTTGTGCTTTTGGTTGCAATTTTGATTTCTGAGATTCCTGTCAAAATACTGTCAGCTTCAAGTCTGATTTCTGCAACTGCTTTCCGAGTCAAGTAATTCAAACCTAACAAATAGAAAATCATATTTTCTGTATCTGTCAGCAATTATGACATTATTAGGTTGGTAGCTATCACTTCATATTTATTGAAAACATATATATTTAATCCCTTCTTATTTTAATGTGATGTGGTAAAAAAAATCAATATTGGAGGTAAGAAAGAAAGCCATTAATTTATTTTTGTATAAAGCACTTTTTATTCGTTTTAATATCTCCTTGTGTTGGTGTTTTGAGCTATCTTGATCTCCTGAATTCCTCCTTATTCCTTAATTAACAATCACTTGGGAACAAAGACCTATTTCCTTCTAACCGTTTGCTTGCACTCATCAGGACAATTGGAAGAAATAGCAAGTCCAGGGGAAAATGAACGTTTATACCAAATGAGAAGAGCGTGTTGATTGGTTGCAAAGTGGACAATGATTTGCAGTGAAATTGCCATGGTGAATGCACCCATTAATATCAATTGAAAATTAAATGAAGGGCTTTGTTTAAAGTTTAAACCTGTAAAGAGTAAATCTGCTGGGTTTAAAGGTTAGCAGTTAACTGTCAGCAGGTATTAATGGATGCATTTTTCATGGCAATGCGTCTGTCATTTAGAATTGTTCTCTCATGCGGTATAAATGCTAGTTTCCCTTGATATTCTTGTGAAGATATTCTTGTGAATTGTCCTGATGTTTTCAAATTGAAATTAACGTACATGGGGCAGTGCACTGACAAAGATAGAAAACTAGTTGGTGGACAGGAAACAAAGAGTAGGAATAAACAAGTAATTTTCCAAGTAGCAGCCAGTGCTTAATGGGTTACTCAGGGATCAGTGATCAAACCCAGGTATTCACAATATATATTAACGATTTAGGGAACTAAATATACTACCTCCAAGTTTTCAGATGGATGGGTGGGTGAACTGCGAGGACAATGCAGAGATGCTTCAGTGTGATACAAACAAGTTAAGTGATTGGGCAAATGTATGGCAGATGAAGCAGAATGCTGATAGATGTGAGGTTATCCACTTTGGTAGCCAGAAGCCAGATCTGCATCGTGATAGTTTAAGAAAGGGGAAGTGCAACAAAACCTTGTACACCATTGAGAAGAAGTAAGCGTGCAGGTGCACGAGACAGTGAAGAGGGCAAATGGTATTTGTTCTTCATATCGGGAGGATTCGAGAATAGGAGCAAGCCTGGAATATTGTGTGCTGTTTGGTCTCCTTATTTGAGGAAGTATATTCTGGCTATGGAGGGACTGGAAACAAGGTTTATCAGACTGATTCCTGGGATGGCAGAACTGAGATATGTCAACAGACTGGATCTGTTAGGATTATATTCGCTGTAATTCAGAAGAATAAAGGGGGGATCTCTTTTAAACATATAAAATTCTAATAGGACTAGATAAGGTTAAATGCAGGAAGGACGTTCCCAATGACTGGGGAATCCAGAACCAGAGTTCACAGATTAATGATATTGTGGATGTCATTTAGGACTGAGATAAGGAGAAACTTCTTCACCCAGGGAGTAGTGAGCCTGTGGAATTCTCTGCCACAGAAAGTGCTGAGGCCAAAACATTGAATGTTTTCAAGAAGGAGATAGACATGGGATTTAATGTCTTAAAAGGATCAAAAGGTATGGGGTGAAGGTGGGATTAGTACTGAATTGGATCATCATCCATGAACATACTGAATGGTGGAGCAGGCTCAAAGGGCCGCGAAGTCTAGTCCTTCTCCTACTTTCTATGTTTTTATGAAAATATTCAACAAATTGTGTCTTTTTTCAGCAATCTGCAAATTCTTAATGATTGAATTTACCTACCTGTTATTGTAAAAAAAAATCTAACTTAGAATCTGTTTTAGCACCTTTCAAAATGTTTTAGCCCCTACCCATTTAAACTGATGGAAAGCCCTAGGCAGTGTTTCTATATCCCTGTTGGAAGTAGCATGACCTCTGCTTGCAGATGCCCAGGATACTGTGACCGAAAGCAACTACACCTCTCCATGGAGTGATATTGGTTACTATTCCAGCTCACTATTATGTTTTTATAAACTGGTTACCACCTTACAACACAAGATAAAAGCTTCTTAACCACAACATGTTGTGCAGTTCATTTCCAGGCATTTGAGTTATTTTATGCTTGATGTGATCCAAGTTACCTTCAACTTTGGAAACCTAACTTCCTGACTGGAAGATCTGGTGCAGAATGTGGGCCTTTGAGGGAGTTGTGAAGGTGAAGAGAAGGGTATTGAGGAGGAGATCTTTGACAGTGGGAATGGATATGCAGCAGGCATAAGTGTGGAAGGAGAAGCAATAGTTTTGTCACTTCCAGATGTTACCGTCTGTATATACAAAAAGAGAAGAGTTGAAAGAGAAAATAACAAAAAAAAGGACCAACTGTGGCAAATTACTTTCAAACTGAAACCAATGCACCATTTCTTACTTAATTGTCTACTGACTTGCATCTAACTTACAAATGTATTTCAGAAATGCTATTGTGGTAATCAACATAAAAACATGCAATATATAAATAGATAGATGTTTGAATACGTCCTAACATCAGGTATTAGCACACACCATTCATTATTTATAAACACACTGGCATGAATTTATCTCTATTCTTAAAGGTGAAGTCCCTTAGGTCAACAACTGCATGCTACTTTTGAGAAAAAATGAGCTAACTCCATGTTTAAGTTAAAATACACTTTAAAAGATTAAAACACAGTTTTTTTTCAGATATGAATTAAGTAATTGGCTAGATTTAGTAAATGAGAAGTAAATTATTTCAGAACGAGTTTCTTTCTCCGCGGTATTTGTACCTCATTTTCAATACTTGCTGCCTTCTGATCATCAGGCATAACTGGCTTCTTTCTATGTGCCTCTGGTGCGTTATAGGCCTCACTAGGATCTTCCTCTATAAAGAGTTCTGGAAGTTCCTTGTTTGGATGCCCATGGAAACATGTGTGTTTAATTTGATCACTCTTTGACTGGCTTCCATCAATGATTGACTGTAATTCTTCACAAAGTTCCTGCTCATCCCTGACCTGCAGCAATTTCTCTGGAGAGCTACTTTCAAATGGCTCTGTAATAACTAAAGAAACTTCCATAGTGTTGGGTGTTCTACCATTGAGGGAGGGAAGAATTTTGAATGTCTGAGGGGATTCCTGAGGTTTTTCTGCTTTCTGCTTTATGTGTGCATCATATCCATGGGGCATTGTGTGAAATGAAAAAATGGGTGAAGGTAAGACAGAATGGGACAATGGTTGACAAACTGGATGGTGAAGACTTTTCGGTGAACTGGGAAGATTCTTTGATGACGTGACTGGAATGAAATTACTCCATTTCTCATAGGAAGCAGTATTTGTTGAGGGTGTTGGGTCAGACTGATAGGACGTGACTGATAAAGTAGTAACTAAATCAGACAGCAGGCTGTTGGGAAAAGGAAGTGGTGTAGGTGCTGTAGTGTTGACTGGGGACAGTCCAACAGTCAGTGATATCCATTCATTGGTGGTTGCGTTGACTGCAGATTTATTTGGACAGGGTGAACGATGATGCCCGAGAACATGGGCTGTTGTATTGAGCCTTCGACAAGAAGCCAACTTAGAAAGGAAACAGGAAAAGTTTAGAAAACAAACTTATAAAGAACACAAAACAATGACAATGGAAAACAGCTTTCAATGACAGATTTCGAAGGTGCTGACAAGCGCTAACTCAAGCCACCTAACAGGATGTCTCTGCATTCATCAGTTTGTTCAGTTACCTGTGCCAGTTACTTACAAAAATCCCTGCCCATAAAAACTCGATTTTCACAACACCAGTAGCAAATTTAGAAAGGGTATATATTAAAAATTGTATACTAATAAGACAAAGCAACACTTCAACAGCACAATACATGCATTAACCACTGATCGAGCATTAGGCACAAATTGTGTTTACACTCAAAATACTAAACTTGCTTTGCTCGATCAGTGTTCTGTATGACAATACATTCAGCTGAAATTTTATGCATCTGATAGGAGAAGGAATTTTCTTAGTCTTAGACAATAAATTGGAAACTATTGCAAAAAAGAAAGCATCACCTCCTCTCGGCATCTTTCCTCAACTGAAAATCTATGATATATTACGAAAGATATGAAGCAAATATTTAAAATGTGTTGCACCACCACTGGTGTAGTTTTGTTTGTACATCACAATAATTATGCACGGCCCATGACATCCATGAAATTAGACAGTCTAAGTCCACAGGGCATAATCTCAGAATAAGTGGTTGCACATTTATGACAGAGATGAGGATGAATTTCTTCTGTCAAAGGATAACTAAATAACTGCACAGAGGCCGGTATCCTGTCACCAAGTCACCCTATATTTATAGGCACACAGTATATGGGCTTTGACCAGCCAGCTCAGAAGCTAGTCCCTAGACTGAGGAGACCTCCTCTTGTCCTATTTATATCTGCCAGCCAGGGCTCCTTCATTGGCCCAGGTTAACAACACCAATCAAGGATGTCATAGTCAATGAGATCCGCCTGGCCCTGGTTCCAATCACGACAGATAATGAGATAGTAGGAACTGCCGATGTTGGAGAATCTGAGATAACACGG